GGGCCAGGTTTCCCTCCCGCGAGCGGCGTCCGCCGGGCGGAACGGGCCCTGGGCGGAGCCGAGCGGGACCCTGGGCGGGGCGGAGCGGGGCCCTGGGCGGGACCCCGGGTGGGGCGGGGCCCTGTGAGGGAGGGGCGGAGCTTGGAGCGCCTGGTTGGGCCTTGGCTGGGGGCGGGGCCTTGGAGGCCGGACGGCCGTGGAGGGACGTGACTGGGCGGAGCCTGGAGGTGCCCTGACCGAACCTGCGATCCCCGCGCTTGAGCAGCCGGATCTCCCTCAGCCGCCCGCGGCTCTCGGGGAAGCGCAGGAAGGAAAGGGTGGGTTCCCCAGGTGCCCTCGACGTCATCCAACCTCCGGAGCTCGTGAGCGCCTAGAGTCCCTGGCTCTGGCGTTTCCCAGACCCACCCTGGAGCGGGTAGAGGGGCCAAGGCACGCCTCCCGCCGCCGCCCCCGGGAAGCCCCTCTGTTCTAGGACAGCGGAGTTAGCCAGGTGTGGACAGGGTGCAGACATCCAGAAGGACCTGCGGGGAAGGAGGTGAAAAGGTCCATTCCCGGTTAATAACTAGGCCAGATTAACCTAAGGCCGGCCATATCCAGTAAGAGATTGAGTAAAACCAGCAGGAAACGGGGCGGAGTGAGCACTGCTAGAGGGAGCATTGGCCGGGCAGCACCCCTCCCTGGGCAGCTCCAGGCCTGGCCTGACCCCTCCAGCCCCGGCTGGGCCTAAGTACGGGGGCAGTGAGGCAGCGTGCCCTCAGGTGGGCTTGATGCTTGTCTGGCTTCAGAACCAGTCCCTGGCCTGCAGCCCAGCTGGCCTGGCCCTCTGCACGCGGCCCTGTGCCAGCCGCCCTCCCCTGGCCGGAGAGGAACGACTCCAGAGCAAACTCTCCAGTCCTAACACTGTGATCCTACTTAAAGAAACTGGATTTTTAAAGAGGATGTCAGACATCAGCTGTCATCAGCCAGGAGAGCCAAGTTCGGGGCTGAGAGTGGGGACACCCTGCACCCGGGCTTCCTTAAGGTGCCCCCACCCCGCCCTCCCAGTCCCAGGAATGGCTTGGTGTTTCGTCAGCCTCCCTGGAGAGCAAGTGAGAGGTGAGAGACGTGAACAGTCTGACCCACAGGAGCTGCCACAGGAGGGGACGGCGCAGCGACACGACGTGCTGGACACTACCATGTCCACTGTAAAACGGGGAGTTTCACCTCAGAAAAGGTGCAGTTCTGTTTATGAGGACTCTGCAGTATATAAGCACTCCTTTGGACATTTTAGCAGGGTTTGGGATATTACTGGGTCGTCAGAAAAGTCATGATGCATTTTGCATTGAAAAACAGAAAAATACATCATGACTTTTCCAAAGACCAAATAAACACATTTTTAAAAAATTGGGGATGAGGGAGAAAGCTTCATGACGATGGATTTAGTGATCATTTCTTGGACATGACTCCAAAACCACAGGCAACAAAAGAGAAAAATAGCTAAACTGCCTTCACTGAGATCAGAAGCTTTTATACGTCGCATACCTCCACGGCGGTGAGAGGCCACTCAGAGAACGGGAAATGTTGAGGGGGTAGTACTTAGACTACACAACAACTACAACCCGGTAACAAACAAGCCAGTTAAAAAGTGGGCATGGGGGGCAGCAGGTGGTATGGTGATTAAGGGCGCTGGACTCCCACATGGCCAACTGCGGTTCAAGTCCCGGACCTGGCAACTTGCTTTCTCACTCTCTCTCTCTCGCTCTCTCTCTCTCCCTCCCTCTCCCTCTCTGGTCAAATTAAAATAAATAAAGTTAAATAGAATCCTTCTTAAATAAAGTAGAAAGTGGGCACAGCGCCTGAGGAGACATCCCCCCAAGGAGACAGACAGCATGAAAAGACGTGCAGCGGGGCCGACCGGGAGGGCGCTGTCGGACACCATGACGAGACGGCGTCACACCTGGACGCTGACCAGTACACCCACAGCAGAACACTAGTGCTGGTCAGGGTACACTAAGGGCGGCCGTACAACGGGCCGTCTCCATGAACACCAGGCCAACAGCTCCTCAGCCCCGTCCCGTGTGCCCCAGCAACCCCGCTCTGGAGATGTGTGCTCAGGAGATCTGAGAGCGAGACCTGGAGCAGACCCCGCACTCGGTGCAGGGCAGCATGTTCTTCACAGTCAAAAGGTGGGCGAAGTCAGCAGTGAGCCGACACAGAGATGTTTGTTAAGTTTTGCTAAAGGGTGTATGCACTGTCCAGAAAGAAACAGAGGGAAAGTGAGAGAGCACCCCAGAGGGGGATGGCCACCCACAATCCCTTCTCCATTCTCCTCGGGATCTTGGGAATGCACAAATACCTAGCATGTTTTTCAAGCTGCCAGGTCCAGGACTCGAACCATGCTGTTGTCCATGTGGGATCCAACCACCTTTACTAGCACAACACCTGAGGTGGCAGTAGGCCATAAGGATTCGGACCAAGAAATACACAAGGCCAGCCTAGTCCCCGAGGAAGTACCTCGGCAGGGCACAGGCAGAGGCACCAGCTGCTGCCTCCAGCACGGGTGGTGGGAGGGACGGACGGGATACCGAGGCCAGAGCACTGGGACGGGTGGCAGTGGTAAGGGGGCAGACAAGACTGGCTCCCAGCCACCACCCTACCCTGACCAGGCTACACACCCCCAGAGGTCTGTCCTGGCGTCCCTGAGCTCCCTGGGTGGGGCCCGTGGCCGCGATGCGTCTGCTCCCCAGGCAGGGCACAGGGTGGCCCCTTGCTCACAGAGACACCAGAGAGCCTGTGACCGGACTGGGCAGGTGCAGAGGAGCTGCGGGGAGCAGTTTGGAACAGGTCGACCTTGACAGGAATGCAGATGTGTGACAGGGACATGTGCGTGTGTGCCCCATGCATGCACGTGTGCACGTGTGTGTGCACCAGCTTGGTGCTGTCGTGCTGAGGCCTGACCCGTCCTCTCTCTCCTCTGCGGCACAGTGGGGAGCACTGTAAAGAAAGCCAGAGCATGGTCATGCGGGCACGGCCGCAGTCAGGCCCGTCTCCCCAGAGGAGCAGTGAGGTGAGGGGCAGGGCCGAGGGCACAGCCTCTTACCAGGCAGCGGGGGGTGGGGGGTGGGGGAGTCCCGCCTCGTCAAACAGCCGGCAGCCCCTCTGCCCTCGTCAGCTGTAACGCCATCTGTTAAAGGCTGATTTCTCTTAAAGGTCAACCCGGGCCCAGCCCCTGCCACAGAATGGCAGTGCTGGAAGCGCGTGCCCCAGGTCATGTGTGCGTTGTGTGCCCAGGAGCCCACGGAGTCAGAGGGTCGGGCAAGGATCATGGCGTGTCACGACCCCGAGGGAGCTTCTCTCTGTCTCCCTTGTATATATGCACGCTCTCTATCCTGGTAAAGTTAGCTTAAAAAGAGGAAGCTGTGCTGGTACCCGCTAACTGTCCGGACTCACGGGGACAGCAGCCTCTACTACCAAGATGACATGGACAGGGCAACCCCAGAGACTCGGCTTCGAGAAGTGCGGGCGGTGGCTCTCGACACTCGTGTGACTCGTCAGACTTGTGTGAAAGTGTGGACCCATCCCTGTGGCTGGGACCCACTTCAACACCCCCTCCACCCTGCTGGGCTGGCCCCGGCCAGCCACTCTAATGGCACCAGGGGCCTGCACTGTGGGACCAGGCGTCACAGCCCAGCTGGCGCTCTGCTCTGTCACCTGTAAGCAGCAGCGGCACTTCTTCCCCGGGGAGCTCGGCTCGGCTCGGCAGGCGTCAAGAGAGCGCCTATGCGGTGCCCACTGCCGTGGGGTCTGGATGGGCTGGACACGGGGGCCAAATGGGCCCCGCTCAGCTGCAGGCTGGTGACCCAGGGCCCATGGCTTGAGCTCTGCAGATGCCAGGCCCCAGCGTCCAGCCTGACGGCTGGCACGAAGCACTGAGCGCGCTGGACACATGGGGCATAACGAACAGAAGTAAATCCGCTGCCTGTCGCCTGCAGCCCCTCTGTGCCCTGGGGGAGTGGCCGACCACACACTGGGTGAAAGAAGGATGTCGCAGAGACACACTGGGTGCAGCTGGCTCCCAAGGCCCGGGAGCCTGACCTTGCCACGTGAGGCCCCTGCGGAGGAGGAGCTGTGACACGCCCGTGCAGGGTTGGAGCCCGGGGCCAGCGGGGCAGCCTTGGCTCCTCAGCTGGCGGGCTAGGGTGCTCTTCGTAAATAGACTGTTCCATCAGGGAGGGCCTATGCCAACGGGCGCACCGAAGTCTGGGGCGATCGTGTGCGACTGTCACGCCCAGCTCCAGAGGCCAAGCCGCTGTCCCAGGCCCCAGCCCTGGGAAAGAGGACTGGACCCCAAAAGACAGGCTGAGGACGGAGGATAGTGAAGGGCATAAGGCCCACACCTGCGGCCTGTGGCCCAGGCACGAAGGGTCGTCCACGCAGACCCACCCTGGAGTATGGCCCCTACCCAGGGCTCCCTCAGAGAAGGCCGAGGAGGCAGAGCTGAGGAAGGACAGGAAGCCCTCTGCCCAGGGCAGGAGCCGCAGCCAAGGCTGTGAGG